CCCGTCGAGAAGTTTCAGCAGGTCCCGCTGCCAGCCATCATCATCCTGCCATCGAGCAGCATAGCACCGACAAGTAATTCTTCCGGCGTTCCCTTGCTGTTCTCGTCGAGCCTAGTTCGCTGCTTGTGGTCCCGCGTGAACCACGTTCGAACTCCATCTCCATTACTGTTCCTCACGCGGGTCGTCGTCTTCCCGAGTCTCCACGCACGCAGGCCTTCCTTGTGGTTCGTGTTTCAATCATCGTCACCATCAGCGATCAGTTTTCCGGCAAGCCCTGTTCGCGCCAGCATCCCGTCGTGATCGCTGCTCCTCCGCCATCGTTGACGAGCCTGCCCCAACGTAGAAACCTTGCTGTCGCGAGCCCCACGCGAAGGTCCACCCACTGCTGTCCCGCAAACCTGACCGTGCGCCTTCACCGATGACCTGCAACCGTGCTCCACCGGCCATTGCTGCTCGATCATTTGTTCGCAGCCCCCGTGACCTGCTGTTCGCGTGACTGACTACTGTCCCGAGGCCTAGCCCGCAAGCAATCGACCGCCAACGTCTGTTCAGCCCAGGTTCAACCCGTTTTGTTACCCCATCCCGAGAACGGTACCAGGGCTGTCCCTCGATTTATTTAATGTGATCCTATAAGTGTTTAATATGTGCTTATTAAGCTGAATTTGATGAGTTTGATGTATACGTGTGGTTATTTGTTTAATTAGCCTGTATTTATGTATCGTTGGATTGTCGTCACTTTGTTTTGTTGTCGAACTGAGTTTAAGGTGGTATTTTTTCGTGGGAATCCTGGAGTTATAGGTCTTGGAGTTGTCCCTGATTTATTGGTTTTGGTTTGAAGTCGTTTCGAGTTGTATAATGGGAGATATGATTTTTCTAAACCGAGCACGCGTCTGAAATTTGCAAAATTCACCATAAATCGAGTTCTTGTCCTTTTTGGCTGAATTTTTGATATGTTGTGAGTATGTAGAATGTGTGTGCCAAGTCCCTGAATTTATTGTTGAGTTTTTGGTGTTCAAATGCTTAAATCGGTTTCTGGCCAGAATCTTGTAAAATTCATTAAAAATCGTACACTTGGAGTTTTGAGCTGAAACTTTGTGGAGTATGTTAATTTTTGTTTTTCTATGTTGTGTTAAAATTTTGGATTAAAATTCGAAGTGTAGCTATGTGAGCTATTAACTTCAACTTTTGGCACAGTTTTTGCTTTATTTATTTAAAAATGCTCCCGGATGAATTAAGGGCTGAAACTTGGTGAAAATATGAGTTTTTATATACCTTATGATGTGGTAAAGTTTCAGGTTGATTGGCTGAGCCTAACCCTGGATTTTGTATTTTGTTTATTTTAGAGTCTTAATGCTTGGTTATCTGTTGCTTAGGTTCGGATTGGGTCTTAATGATGTTGGCATGATTTATGTGTATTACCTGAGGTATATGAGTCGTGTCCAGGTCTAGGAGTCACTCCATAGTACTTAACTCGGTCAAGGAATCCACGAGTCACTTAGTCGAGATAATTTCGGCTAAGTATATGTGTCTTGTGTGTTATTTTGTTTTGGATAGTCAGTTGATAGGCTATTATAATTGTTGTAGGTTCTTCGAGCT